GCTCTCTCTCTCGCTCTCGCTCTCGAAGCCCCACTCTAAGGGAGTTTGCAGTGTATTAGTGAGTCATATATTGTACAACCACAGTCATAAAGTTTTCAACCAGTAGTTTTATTTCAGTATGTATTTTTCCAGTATCACAAAAAATGTAATTTTATATGGTTAAAACCATCTAGCTTATGTGCACTTTTTAAAACACTGCCCAGCAAACATTCGGACGTTTAATGACAGTTGAACGGTCACAACTGTAAAATACCTGAAATTAAGAAAAATTAACATGACATCTACTGCATTTTCCTTGCCCGGACTCGAACCAGGATCCTCCGGGGCAAGAGTCACCCGCTCTCCCAGCTGAGCTATGCCAGCAACTACTGAATATCAGACTTTTTTATATAGATAGAGGGTAAAGTGCAGGGTAAACTAACCAATCAGAGGACAGAGAAGATCTGCCACAGGCCACGCCTCCAGAGTGCCAAAAGCCCTTACAGCCGAGCGAGCAGGAGTCAGAAACCGAGCGCGCAGAGAGGCTGCCGAGCGCGCACGTTTTCCTCTGCCGTGTGCTCGTTGACAACGCGCGCACGCAGGTTTGTCACTTGTGCACATCCTTGTGCGCTCACAGACACAGTTTGCTCCCTCTCAGTGCACAAATGACCTCTCGCCATGTATATTTCCGCTCGCGAGTCCCGTTCACACGCGCGCTGTGGACCCAATGCGCGTGCACGGGTTGTGGCACGCTTCAAAAGCCATACTCTCGCCATGTATATTTTCGCTCGCGAGTCCCGTTCACACGCGCACTGCCATGTATATTTTCGCTCGCGATTCCCGTTCACACGCGCGCTGTGGACCCAATGCGCGTGCACGGGTTGTGGCACGCTTTAAACGCCATAACACACACACACACACACACACACACACACACACACACACACACACACACACACACACACACACACACTCTCTCTAAAATGTTAGTAAATAATATGCAAATTATAAAAAATGTGGATTATAAAAGGATATCTCATGAAAAACGTTCCATTTAAAATGTTTTATAATTGATTAAATGGCCCTAACAAAGCCAGCACACGGGCCCATATATCCATTTGTGGGCAAACCGTATGGGTACCAACAGGGTTTTCTGTGGATTCCATGATGGCGCCACAGGGATTTGCCCAAATAGATTTTAAAAGGCTCATGTATGAGTCAAACCATCTGGGTTACTTTGCTAACCCTTCAAAACCTATGTGGGGTCAAACCCTACAGGCACCCATACGGTTTGCCAATATACATCCATATGGGGCCCACCTATGCATGCTGGCTGGGTCATAACAACATTTATTAAAGCCCTTTTATGCAAAACATTTCAGTTTATTTACTTCAGAAGTCTACAGTCTCAAAGCACAAAACTGTAGGGGTAGAATGGTTTCCAGCGAACCCCCTTTTGGGGTTCAATGGGGGTCATTCACACATGAGAGGGGCAGACTGGTATAATTACTATGGCTACAAGACCCCATGTAGAATAATAGCAGCAGCACAGAGTGTGTGTTATGTTGTCCTGTCCTTCACTTCTGTCCCAGTCAGAAACAATCAGTTGCTCACTGCGGGAATCTTTTAAACAATGGTAGACAAAACACCCGAGCCGAGGCAGCTGGGAGGGAGCTGTGGCTGGCTGGACCTAAAGCATGTGTGCATACCACAAGGAGACGTGTTACATAAGATGCTGGGATTCACTTAATAAAATAACATTGAAAAAAAAATGAAAGGCACTTTTTCAGAACGGTTTGAATGGAAGACAAGTTAAGACACAGTGACAGTCAGGCACGCTAACCACATCTGCATATGGTAACGTTTAACTCTCGACCTTGCAGACTAGGAGTGGGGGTAGAGTGTGTAGAGCTGTCCACCTGCATGTGCGTGTTTATGTCTAAGTTGAATTGGTTCATTGTGAAAAAAAAACTGAAATCTAATCATTTTTGGAGCAGAAACAATCCTGCCAAACTCCTAAAAGCAAACACACAATTTCTCATTTAAATGACTTCAACACACTTGTCCTTTCAAATCAAGAGGGGTCCGGCAGGTTCACAGGTTAATGCAGAGTGCTGCTGAGAGCTGTGCTCTGTCTTTTTCTGCTGCTTAATAGGAAACTAAATACAACAAGGTCACCTGGAACCGTCACAAACACTGACACAAAGAAATCCGAGAAAAGCTATCAGACATGTAGTCAAGGACACCACCGTTCTCAGCATTTTACTATTTCACTGTAGCAATTTGTTTGGCTGCTGATGTCTGCTAAAATATTATGGTGTGATGCTGATACCTCTCAAGATTCATCCATCCATTTTCAGCCGCTTATCCGGAATCGAGTGGCAGCAGCCTAAGCCGAGAGGCCCAGACTTCCCTCTCTCCAGCTACTTGGGCCAGCTCTTCTGGGGGAATCCCTAGGCGTTCCCTGGCCAGGTGAGAGACATAGTCCCTCCAGCGTGTCCTGGGTCTTCCCTTGGGTTTCCTCCTGGTTAGACGTGTCCGAAAAACCTCATCAGGAGGGAGTCCAGGATGCATCCTGACCAGAAGCTCAAGCCACCTCAACTGGCTCATTTTGACGTGGGGGAGCAGCAGGTCTACTCCAAGCCCCTCCTGGATGACCGAGCTTCTCACACTATCTCTTTGGGAGAGTCCACCCTGTGGAGTAAATTCATTTTGGCTGCTTCTATCCACAATCTCATTCTTACAGTCACTACCCAAAGCTTGTGACCATAGGTGAGGGTAGGAACGTAGGTCAACCGGTAAATCGAGAGTTTCGCCTTCTTGCTCAGCTCTCTCTTCAACATGACACATCGGTATAACGCCTGCATCACTGCAGACGCAGCACCAATCCATCTCTCAATTTCACGCTCCATTTTTCCCTCCTCCACTCGAGGCAGGACCTCGTCCTTGACATGGGATTCTATCCTATTCCGATTCAAGACCACGGTCTTGGATTTATAGGAGCCAATTCTAATCCCGGCAGCTTCAAACTCGGCTGCGAACCGCTTCAGCAAAAGTAGAAGATTACGTTCTAATCAAGCCAACAAGACCACATTTTCTGCAAAAATCAGAGACTTGATCTTTAGGCCACTAAAACAGATGCCCTCCACACCTTGGATGTACCTAGAAATCCTGTCCATGAAGGTTATGAACAGAATCGGTGACAAAGGGCAGCCTTGGTGGAGTCCACCCATCACTGGGAACAAGCCCGACTTACTGCTGGCATTGCAGACCAAGCTCTGACACCGGTCATACAGGAACCTAACAGCCCCTATCAGAGGGCCTGGTACCTCATACTCCCAGGGTACCCCCACAGGATCCCCTGGGGATGTGGTCAAATGCCTTCTCCAAATCCACAACACACATGTAGATTAATTGAGCGAACTCCCACGCACCTTCCAGGATCCCTCTAAGGGTATAGAGCTGGTCCGGTGTTCCACGGCCAGGACAAAAACCACATTGTTCCTCCTGAATCCACAGTTCAACAATCCGACGGACCCTCCTCTCCAGAACCCCTGAATAGACTGCTCCCAATGTCCACGCGATACTGGAGAGCCACGTCAACCAACACAGTCCCACATAATCCAGAACCTGAAGGAACTCTGGGCGGGACTCATCAACCCCCGGGGCCTTGCCACCGAGGCATTTTTGACCACCTCAGTGACCTCGGCCCCAGAGATTGGAGAGTCCAACCTCTTAAGATATTGTATAACAATCTGTATTTGTCTGAATATTACAAATTAAAAGATCCACCCTAAGAATAAATGCGTATTTTTTTTCCAGATTACCAACATCCCACGCCATTGAGATACCATATTAATAGGCTATTGCCATTTTGGAAACACTGGTTTGACTTTGGCTTGATGTTTACAAAGTATCTTTATTGAAAAATACTTTGATCTAGCTAAACCTAAAACCTGCAGCTTTGATCAATCAAGTTAACAAAAAGAGGTAATTAATTTATCTGACAATTTACAGATAATTCTTCATGTATCATCGTGTGAGATGCTTCATTTTAATAAGCAGGCTGAACCTCTAACCCTTAAAGGTACGGAACACTGAAAAAAAGTTTTTTAATAAATATTTCTGATTGTAATTGGTCTGAGTTTTTAATGCAGGCTGAACATGAAAATAGTCTCCTACACCAATCTCCTGTATTAGCTTCTGATAGAAAATAGACGGCAAAACTCTAGGATTTGTAAACCCTGCCAGGTCTATGTCACAATGCTACTCAACATTCATGGACTCACCCATCTTGACTCACAACGGTGAAGGCTGTTGTTGGTTTAGTTGTCCAGGAGAGAGCAGAGAATGTCTCGGCTAGTAGAAGCTAACCGTTAGCATTAGCAACTCCACAACATGGCAGAACTCCTTCAAGCTTGGATTATTTGTGGAGATAAAACAGAAAAGTTGCAAAGAAAGTGGACTCAGTGGTAGAGTTGCGTTGCTGTTAGCCAAAACGTCCAAATATCAAGAAATAAGGCTCCAAATTCTGCCGTCTGAGGCCCATTCCCAACACTCGCACTTCCATCCTTACGTCCCTTAATTACGTGTTTCTGTTCAGGAACTCGCAAGGTATTCATTCCTACTAGAAACCATTGCACTGATTAAACAAGTGATCCACACCTTTAAACCAGAGTGAGAATTGGTGGATCCTCTATATGGAACCAGAGAATGGGGTCAACTTTAACCCATACTAGCTGATCTTTTACAACTCATCATTTATCATCATCAGCCTGGGACAATGGTTACATTTTAACAATAGAATAAACTAAGCATCTCACTATATGCTGATGAAACTCTGATTCAGATTAATCATTGTCAGCGATCTCTATCCACTTGGCTGAAAATGACTGATAATTATATTTGTTCAGGTAACTTTTTTACGTGGAAATGTTTTATTTTTGTACTTGATTAGACTGACTTAGTGTATTTTCCTTGCGTTCAAACAGCCAAACAATATATATATAAAAACACATATATGTGGAAAAAACCATTTATTGTCAAAGCTTGTTCTGTGATTGAATGAGAGCCTTGTTCCAGCATAAACACAATATGAATTTCTATAACAGAATTCACCTAATGTAGATAAGAGTAGATGTGGTGTATGCCATCACATTTCTATGTTAAGTCAAAAGAATATGAAAGCTGGTGGAAAAAGTTAAATAACAGAAGTGAACAGAAACAAGAGTTAAATACTCTGGAGCAGGTGTCACCAACTCCAGTCCTTGAGGGCTACCACCCTGCTAGTTTTCGTGTTTCCTGTTCTACCACACCTGAACAGAGTAATTTCATCTTCTCTTTATCACGTTTACTTGTGCACAGGCCTGTTAATTACTCATTTATTTCAACAGCTAACACTTGCAGGATGGTAGCCCTCGAGGACCAAACTTGGAGATCCCTGCTGTGGAAAGATGAAGCTTCCTTGCGTTTACAGGGACAGAATAAATAATATTAGGTTGAATGAACAATGTAACAAAGAAGTTGTTGAGCAAAACTGCATCAGTCATTTTCACAGATATTTAGTCTCATTTGTCTGTTTTTTTTTTCCTTCTGTAAAGTGCATCAAAATGATACAACATCTTTACTAATTTCAGTTAAAAAAGCTTCAAGCTTCAGCTTCAAACTTGAACCCTCTCAGGCTCAAAATAAGTTTTGATAAAAGGACGAACAACTAAGTCCCGAGTTAAAAAATGCTCATGAAATACTTATGTGGAGTAACCAGGTAGGTAGGTTTTAATGTTGTAAATTTGCAATGCCTACCTCCAGAGGGTTAATTTCTTGATAATCCTTGAAAATATAGTTTGATAGATATAGAAAAGCAAGTAGAAATGCACAAACTTAATTCTCTTTCTGTTCAGTGGGTTTACAGGTAGAACATTGTGTTCTTCCGGCTCTTGGAGAGTTCAGACGCTTTTTTCCTCCTCTCCTCTCTATCTTATCCCAAGGCTCTTTGTCTGTCTTTGGGTGTACGGCGCTTCTGCATTTTTTCTGGAAACTGGAAATGATGAAAAATGGACCTGGTCAGTTGGTCTCTCAACGCGATTGACAACATTTTTTCAACAATGAGAACGGGAGAAGGGGCTCCTGGGTGCCCCTCTGGGACAGAGCCAGCTGGGCATATCATGGACTCCTGGAAACAGTGGAACCTGATGTGCCTCTCTCAACTGTCTGTAGAGGATTCTGAAAACGTCTGGATATTCGTGGTGCTGGTGTCAGGTTTCTTGCTGTTTGGCCTGAGCGGTTACCTGGCTTACTGGAAAATTAATGAGCTGTCAAGGAATATTGGCTCAATCCCGGAGCTCAGGGATGGATTACACCGCACTGTGAATGCACAAACTCATAATTGCTGAGATGAGTCGTAAGATTGGAACTTTGGCTGAGATTCAGACTCTGGCACAGAAGGTGGATGCTATCAAGGATAAGTTGACAGATCAGCACGGATTGGGATAGATTTATTATGAAATTATTGGATCTAGAGGGGTTGGAAATCAACAAAACTTTAAGACAAAGAGGAAATTATCTCTGTCTGGCCCCGAAACAAGTTCTTATCTGAATCTGGTGCCCTTGAGCCTGTGAGGCTGAAGAGATTACTGCCGTAATGCTGCTGTCGCCATGGTAACTCTGTCTCCCTTTCCCAGCCTGGGCGGGACTGCGACCGGTGAAGGCCGTTGAATCGTTTCCAGGAGTCACTGTGCTCTCTAACCCAATTACCTCCCTCCCCTGTCCAAACGGAGGTGACGAGCGCTGCTTATCGCGGCTGAATGCACTGATGTGAGGAGAGTTCCCAACCCTACCTCTCCACCTAGTGGACACTTATGTTGTGTGATGTCTGAAGTCTGTTGCATTTCTGTCTGAGGTGTTTTTGCAGAGCAAAGCTGCCCTCCCTGTGGAGGGTAACTCTGAAGAGCCTTTTTTTCCTCCACCTGACTCAATCCTCATATGAACCTTCTGATCTCTGTTAAGGTAGCGCGACTCGGGTTGCGAATGACCACAGTCACCATTCTTGTCATGTGTCTATGTATGTATGTCTGATCTCAGAATTGTGTGTACTGAAACACTAATTTCCCTCTGGGATTAATAAAGTATCTTTGAATTTGAATTTTCTAATCCTCTTACTCATCCTGAGAAGTTAGGCGAAGTTTCATGATGCCAACAATGGCAACACCCTTCCAATGAAAGATTGCTCTTAATGCCAAAGTCCAAGCAGAAAGACGTACAAGCGATTTAAGAGTGGACAAATATAAAAAAAAATAATCAAAGAGTACCGTCTTGCCTGAGCCAACCTTCTGGAGACGAAAAAGCTGCTTCACAGGCCAGCCCCCTCTTCTGATTTTTGCTCAGAGAATTGAGAGAACTACTATGTACAATCACTTTCCTCTATTCTCTTTGGTCAGTCTTTACATTATGTTCAAACGCAATACTGCAATGTAGCATTTCAGTTTGCATGAGCCATACGCGAATCCATGCCAGTGTAGTTAAGCATCGTCTGGACCAGTTCTGGGAGATCGTAATCGTGTTTCCAGCCCCAGTCCTTTCGTGCGTTGGAGTCATCAAAGTTCATTGGCCAGCTGTCAGCTAAAATGATCCAGAAAAAGAACATTTAGTTTAGATGTACATGTGATGGTTCCAGTTTTATAGCGTATAATAATAAAGAAAAGCTCACCAATCGCCTGTCTCACAGGGTCAACATCATATGTAACTTCTAGCTCTGGCATCTGTTTGTGGAGCTCCTGGACCAGTTCCTCAGGCGTAAAACTCATGGCGTTGATGTTGTACGTCCTCATGCTCAGTGTGTCAGCTGGCGCCTCCATCACCTCCAGCGTAGCACGCAAGCAGTCATCGATGTACATCATGGGTAACCGAGTGTCTGATCGCAAGTTGCACTCAAACTTCCCAGACTTGATGGCGTCGTGAAAAATCTGGACGGCGTAATCTGGTCAAAGACACAAGATCATCACTGTTAGTAGAGTTGGATCAAACCATTTTTCTTGGGGCCAGAAACAGGAATGTAATGTAGAAGCTGATTTTACAGCGGCACTAAAGAATTTAACGCTTTAAGCTATTGCTTTCAAACTGGTTTCAGTGGTTCTTGAGCCACAAATTTGAGCAACTTCACACTTTGTAGCACTCTGCTGACCAGAAACTGCACATAACAGTTTTGTAGGAGGTCTATACCTTTTTTTCAGCAGCAACTCTTTACTGTGCTGCTAGCTAACATAAAGGCTTGCAGTTAACTTTTGTTGTTTCAGGAATTATGGCGGACCCTGGAAATTAACATAAGAGAATAATGTCTTTGGAGCAAAGAGCTAAAACTAGAGTCAACATCAGCGCAGCCTAAACTAGTTTCAGGGAGCTGAAGGAAACTAAACGGACTGATGGTGACCTGGCTTTGTTGCTTCTGGACTTGAAAGTAATTATATTTTTATCCAACAGTGTGGATCTTTTTACTTCGTGGCTTATTTAGTGTCACTTGGCTCGTGCTTTGGAATTAGCTCATTGTTAGCGCCAGCTACAGCAGGTTACGGAAGGATTTTTTATGACAGTTGTAATGCCAATTGTAACCAGTAGGAGGGAGAGGTGGGAAACTTATCAAGTGTTGTTTTAAGAACGTTTTCTAAGTTGAGATCTGCATGGCATTAAGCTAAATGCACTCGATAACACTGACCATCTTTAAAACATTAAGCTTTAACTTTTTTCTACCTGTTGTTCCACCTCCTGGCATGGAGTCGGCTGAGATGATTCCTGGGTAGCGAAGGCAGCGGAAGTCCAGGCCGTAGCGATGGTGGTAATACTACACAGACGGGAAAATTCACCCATTTAACAAAGTTAACAAGACACAAATAAAAAGTGGTACAGGTGGAAAGTAGACGGTGGGTTTCACCTCTCCCATCAGCTCAGCGTGAACTTTGGAAACCCCATAGATGGTGCGAGGTCTCTGCACACACAGATCTGGTGTGGGGTTGCGAGGGGAAGAGGGGCCAAAGGCGCCAATGGTACTGGGGACAAAGAGTCGCAGACCGTGTTCTGCTGCAATGTCCAGGATGTTGTGAAGCCCTTAAAATACATGCAAATATTCCCCCTGTGAGTCCAATTCAACATCACTGCAACTATATTCAAAGAAAATGCTAGTTTCGAATCTCATAATGCAGGATTTTTGTGTATGATTGATGCTGGGATTCTTCCTACAGGTCATAGACTTCTGATTTATTAATAGAAAATGTACATTTTAGGTGCTTTTCTTAGGTTTGGGCTTGCCATTTGGGGGAAAAGGTTTGAAAAGTGGAGTTTCTCTTATAAGCTGACTGACCCGTGATGTTAACGGAGCGTGCTAAGGCCACATTAGCCTCTCCAACAGCACTGAGAAGAGCACTGTAGTGAACAAGCCACGTGATTCGGTTGTTCACCACGATTTCTCGCAGGTTCTTGTAGTCCAGGATGTCCGAGTAGATGAACGGGCCTAGAAGGAAGAGAACGGACAAGTCACTCATCATGAATACCTTCTTTACATGTTTAACGTGTTTTCCTAAAGACGATGTTACATAATGTCATTCATCAACAGGAATTTCCACCGTTACGCAACAATTTACTCATTGTGTAACATCAGACCTTTAAACGTTCCAATATTAGTCACACAGCTAACAGGAAGTTTATGGTCACACAGTAAACAATAGTACATAAACATAATCTGATCCGAGATCAGTTTGACTTTACTTTACTCACCACTGTGAAAAACATTGCTAGGAGGTTTCCTGATGTCAGACAGAATGACATTGTTCTTCCCGAATCTCTTCCTGTAAAGGAAGTTTATGAAATAAATTAGAAACCGTTGAGTCACTTCGAGAAACAAAACAAAAATTCCAGTTTTTCCTGCTCAGAAAACTTGAAAGTCTCACCTTAACATTTTGGCCAGTCCCACTCCAAGCTGCCCCAGCCCACCTGCACAAAAACAACAAGGTGTCATTTCACAAGGTGCAGCTGATCATTTCCAGTGCACGTTTCCATGGTGATAGGACAAACCGGAGGAGAATGCTATACAAAACCAGCCACAGCGCTCGACACCTTTGTGTTTAACTGGAAACTCTCGTCAGAGTTCAAAGCCAAACTGTCTTATAAATCCTGCCGTTCTTGAAGTCTCTCCAGAGCTCACACTTTATATATACAGTCCCCCTTCTACCGTTACACCAGAAGACTCGTATGCTTTTGTTGTCCTTTCAGTTGGGATGAGCAGCAAAGGGCCTGAATCAGGTGTTTCTTACCTGTAATGAGCACCTTGGGGTGGTCTGCTTCTGAGAAGGACACGGAGTGGAAGCTTGCGTCAGAGGTGACCTGGCGAGGAGAGAAGCTGATGTTACGCACAGCCACGGTCAGGGGCTGACAGCCACACACCGGGGTGCCAAGCACAGCCTGCGTGGCCACTTTGCTGAGGGTTCTGATGATGGGCATGCTGGTACCTAAACACAGAGGCAGGATGAGAAGATGCTGGGCCAGATTTCAAAAAAGTTTCAAACAAATTTTATCTGCATTTTAGGCACATTAATACAGAATTTTGACCAAATGTGTTGTGTTTTAAAAAGAACAGGTGTTTCAAGACCAAACTGGCATTTAAAGAGACCTCTATAGTAAAATATGCAAATGCATGCTTAGATAAAGTCTGACAGGATTCAAATGTGAAAGAGGCGTAGGCAAAAAGCTGAATCCTTTCCAAACAGAAGGAAGAGCATTGAGCTCTGCAGTGGCAAACATCTTTCCATCTATCCAATCAGAACTAAGCTTTGATGCAACTCCAGGTATTTCAGAAAATGAAATCTTAAGATGCCCTTTCAGATAAAGATTTGTGTTTTTTGGATTAAAACTGATGAATTTTTGCGCACCGCATGACTGAAGCGAGTTTACCGCTAGTGATGTGTCGGTCGCGAACGAACTGGCTCTAAGAGCCGGCTCTTTGAAGTGAACGACGGGAGCCGGCTCGTCATTGGGAGCCGTCCCCTCCCCCCTTCCCCTTTGCTTTGGTGAAAGCCACAGGCGATTGGTCAACATGTGTAACTGCGTGTCCAGACTGTCCACACACAGAGCAGTAGGGGCGGGGAAGAGGGAGGATAAGACTCAGACACACAGCAGAGCACATGCGGGCGGAGGGAGACGAGAGGGAATGAGGAGGAAAAAGGTGAGAGAGAGAGAGAGAGAGAGAGAGAGAGAGAGAGAGAGAGAGAGAGAGAGACAGGAGAGTGTGACGAAAACGGTGAGAAAATGAGCGCCAGCAGTCGGAAAGTGGAGATTTCTTAAAGTGTTCAGTTACTAAATCCATAGAAATGATAAATATTAGATATATAGCATTTTTTTACATTAGTAAATCATTTTACATATAGTTTTGCATTATTTTGGTTATAAATGTACTCTACGCAACAGAAAATCTGAGGAGCCACTTGGGAGCCGAAAGAGACGGCTCTTTTTGGTGAGCTGAGCCAAAAGAACCGGCTCTCTAAAAAGAGCTGGAATTCCCATCACTATTTACCGCAGGGTATGAGGGACTCCAAGAGTAAGGGAAGGTGTAACTTGAGAGTATTTATACTGCCCTGCCTTCAAGGAGAGCCAATCAGGAAGAGAGGGCGTTCGGCTATGCTGCACACCAACAGCGGAGGAAGCCGGTGCCAAGCGCAACGACAACGACCTCAGTGACCGGATTTGGAAGTATTTTTGGAACGTAATCACTTAGGTTTGGAACTCCGCAAGACGCACTAGAAATGACAAACTCAGTTGCGAAAAACACGCACCAGCAAGAACGTTTTTCACTCTTTTGCGCAAATTTTACCCTGTTGATGTTTTGTCTGCTTTGCGTCTACTTTATTTCCTCAGGTCTGTTGTGTCCACATCGTGTATCACCTGTTGTGTAATAAGGACACAGCGTCGACTTGTCCACGAGTCACTGTGACATTTTCAAGGTAATGATGAAGAGAGCGCACCGTTTTATTTTCTTTTAGCGGCGAGGGACTAAATGAGAATTTGTGTTTTTAAATGTGAATTTATGGATATCAGCTGGGAGTTTATTTAAGATACGGTAGCCGATAAGGAAGGAAAAGGGGAACCCGGCTAGATCAGCCGGTGCACGCGGCTCAGTGCGTAACCGGTCCGACTGAGCATCGGTTATCTGCTTTTTGGACGAAAAGGAGCCGTTTACGCTCATATATTTTACTTTTTACCGCGAGTTAGGATTGAATACTTTGTAATCATTGGTGACGGAAAAGAACAAAAGCTCATGTGCGCACGGCTTGAAAACCAAGCACATGTCTGCATTTTTGAATGAAAAGACTCATCAGATGGAGTGGAAAACTCACCGCTGGATGGAAGGCGACAACAAAAATGAAATAATGATTTCTGTCTGTTTTTTTTTTTTTAAGAAAAAAGAGATGCTGCTTCCTGCTCCGAGCTGCTCCCACGTCGCGCCGAGGTGATGCCTGAGTGTTATCTTCGTTCAGTGTTGCATCAGCTGCCTCCTACTATATATCAGCGGCCATCCGGTGTCTGGAGGGGGGAGCCGGCTTTGCCTCGGATTGGTTGAGGCACAGAGGTGCGGTCCTCCCTCACAGACCACGCCCACTGCCGTCACAAGCTTCAGCTTTCTTTTGTGCAGAGAAATGCCTATTCAAATTAGAATGAACTGGCGCAAATAAACTCTACTGACACCTGCTGCAAAGAGGCTTTTATTTTACGAATCTTAAAAAAATTTAACTGCATGAGCTGTTTAAAAAATGTCCCAAAGTGCATTTAAATTACTACGCAAGTAATAGTAGCAGCAGTAATAAATGATTATGTACGTAATAGTAGCAGTAATAAATGATTATGTATGTAATAGTAGTAATAAATGATTATGTATGTAATAGTAGTAATAAATGATTATGTATGTAATAGTAGCAGTAATAAATGATAATGTGTGTAATATTAGGAGTAATAAATGATTATGTATGTAATATTAGCAGTAATAAATAATTATCCAACCCAATCCAATCCAATTTTATTTATAAAGCGCATTCCCAAGGCATTACAACCAAACAAGGCGCTGTACACTAAAAATGTTAGTTAATTAAACCGGCGTTATACAAACATGTCGAACATAGATAAAAGATAAAAAGGAAATACAACAAAATTCCCAAAAATAACAGCTAAAAATCAATAAGACACAGGGTGAATAAAAAATTAGAAAAACATTTTAAAAAAGAACCTCAATAGTACGGAAGTCGAGAATTGTGGAGTCCATTTTTAAACAGTGCAGAGTGAGGTTTATAATTATGTGGTATAAGCTATGTATTATTATTATGTGGTATAAATTATGTATGTAATAGTAGCAGTAATAAATGATTATGTAATAAATGATTATGTAAGTAATAGTGGCAGTAATAAATGAGTATGTATGTAATAGTAGCAGTCATAAATGATAATGTATGTAATATTAGCAGTAATAAATGATTATGTATGTAATATTAGCAGTAATAGATGATAATGTATGTAATATTAGCAGTAATAAATAATTATGTATGTAATATTAGCAGTAATAAATAATTATGTATGTAATAGTGGCAGCAATAAATTATTATGTACGTAATAGTAGCAGTAATAAATGATTATGTACGTATTATTAGCAGTAATAAATGATTATGTACGCAATAGTAGCAGTAATAAATGATTATGTATGTAATAGTAGCAGTAATAAATGATTATGTATGTAATAGTAGCAGTAATAAATAATTATGTATGTAATAGTAGTAGTAATAAATGATTATGTACGTAATGGTAGCAGTAATAAATGATTATGTACGTAATAGTAGCAGTAATAAATGATTGTGTATGTGTTAGTAGCAGTAATTAATGATTATGTACGTAATAGTAGCAGTAATAAATGATTATGTATGTAATAGTAGTAGTAATAAATGATTATGTATGTAATAGTAGCAGTAATAAATGATTGTGCATGTAAAAGTAGCAGTAATAAATGATTGTATGTATTAGTAGCAGTAATAAATGATTGTGTATGTATTAGTAGCAGTAATAAATTATTATGCATGTAATAGCAGTAATAAATGATTGTGTTTGTAACAGTAGTAGTAATACATTATGTATGTAATAGTAGTAGTTATAAATTATGTCTTACAAAAGGCACTTTGTGCAATATTAAACAACAATAAACAATAATAAACAATGCACATGTATTACAATATTACAGGAAAAAGTCACATGACTAAACACATTGTTCAGTGATCAAAGTGCGTAAGGTTAATTTATATATAAATCACAAAGTGCTTGACAAAAGTATTTTGAATAACTTTTTTGATGGGTTTCTTCTCTGAACTTCAATTAATGCTCTGCAAGTTTTAGCATCAAAATCAACTAGACTGATGTAAAAAGAGGGGAAACGCATTATTCCAACTGCATTAATCTGCTGACAGATTTCCGACTTTATTCTTTATATTTGCCTTCGTTGCAAATATGAACCAATATGTGTTGAATTTGCAGGAGAAGAAGGAAACCTCTCACTTCACTGCATAAAATGCCTTTAAATCAGCTTTTGGTCATTTGTGGTATAATAAACAGAAGTGAAAATTTCAAAGACAAATGAATGTAACAAATGGATGAATTCAGTTTGGCTAGTTGTAAAAACTTAGTCCATCAAGAAGACATGTGGGAAGTAAAACATTTATCATTTTTTAAATGCATTTTTAAAAATGCCATGCTCAAAATCTTTATTCACCCATAAAAAAGCAGCTTTGTGTATTGTAACTGAAACATTCCTCTGATGTTTTGACAAACAGTTTTGATGATCTTGAAAAAAATATATACAAAATATAATTTTTTAAAATTTAAAACAGATTATTTTCCTTAAGTGAGCCATAAAAAATACTGTTTCCTCAAAATAAACAACCATTTCTGCCAGACATTCAAGAATATCAGGGACTGGCAATCATTCAGATCTATAAGGATTAAATGTACCCAGTCAATCAGAAAATCAAAATCTGAATATTATAATAACCAGTTTCAGATGGGTAGTTCTGACCCCAAAAACCTCTGACAGACAGTCAAGACTATGGGAAATACCAATAAGTCCTCAGCATTGTTGTCTCAGATAAAACTAAAATGGTTAATTCTTTTAATAACCATTTTATAAAAGCTGGTCATGCCTTTGCAACAGCTTCACTCGTCTCTGGGGTCTCTGACCTCGACTCAGCTATATCTTATACTTCCCTCCCCACAACCAGTTCCTGTTTCTCCATCCAATAGTTTCAAGTAAATGAGTTACTCAGGTTAGATCCTCTTAAATCAGCTGACTGGATAGACCCTTTCTTTCTGAAAAAAGCAGCACGTGCTTTTGCTGCATTTATTACCCATCTGTTTAACCTGTCCATACAAACTAGTGCATTTCCGCAGGACCGGAAATTTGCTGCTGCCTCTTGGTCAGATCGTCGTTTTAAATGAGAAAGAGTTCTCAATCGACTCATCTAAATAAATAAAGGTTAAATAAATAAATAAAATAAAAATAAACGTACGCCAATGACCTGTAATGACCTTACCACTCCTTACTGGGAAGCAAGAGCACATGATCCCTGATGACTATGAGATGATGGCTCAGTCGCACTAAAATAGATACTAAACATGTTGAAAACACATTTCTTTATAAAGTAACTTTAATTCACTATAAAAACAAACCTTCACTGATTTAATTTCAGAACAAAAATCAATGGATTTCTCTTGGTTTTAGGCTCCGCGTCATAAATCACTCATCCTTAATGCAACATTAGAGACCGAAGAGAACACGACCCAACTGTAAACAGTATAACATTACACGCCTCCATGAAGCACCTGATCAACAGCTATTTATTCTACAGGCACTTCATCAGATGATTGCGCCGTCGCAGCAGGGGTACTATCTGTCATTAGGCTCCGGGGAGCTGTTTACCAACCGCTGAATGAGCCACAAGAGGACAGAGGGGATAAAACAAAATTACACGGATGTTTCTCTTTTTGCAAAGGATTTGTAAAACAACTGTGCCAAAATCAAAAGAACATATCTGCACAAACAAAGAAGCTTAATGCATGAAAACATGAACAGTCACATGGAGGAAAACGCATCCAGCTAGCGAGATTTTCTTCCAACGAAATGAAAACTGCAACCTGCCCTGGGAGAGAAGAAATGTTTCCGATACGAGGGAGTGAAACGTGAAACGGTCAAATGCAAATGCCCCCCCCCCCCCCCCCCCCCCCCACAGAGAGCCGTGAAGCCTCTTCTTGGTTTTGAAACTTAAATCTTCCACATTCCTCACATACTTCTGGATGTGCAACAGGCTCGTCTTTTACAAGATACTGAAGCGTTCTCGTGTCTATATGAACATTTAAAAAGCTGCTGTTTAAGAAAAGCACAAAACAATTAACGGATGGAGCTAAACGAAATTAAAATAAACACCGTGATGTTTTGAATTATAACTTTTACTGATTTGAAACATAAAAAAACATTTACACTTCTGAATGAAATCCCTTTCCAAGCATTGGATTTGGACAACTTACAGTAAGGCGGCACAAAGTTCAGAAGCAGGATTATTTGCACACATTGTGACATTATTATCATTAGTTCTGTCTTCTACACAATAAAGCATTTAAGCAAATAGAAATATGAAGAATTGCACAATAAAGCATTGATTTGGTTGTTTTAGGTGACCAAAAAAGCTAAAGAAAAAGGTAAGATGTACATTTGGCTAAAAGTTAGCTCGAGTGCTTGTGTAAAGTAGTTATAAGTAGATTAGTGTGGTTATTACACAACTCCCTACGGCTCCAGGAGGAAGGATCTGATATGATATGATGTTCAAACAAAACACATTTGTTTTGTTACTGATACACAAACAAACCCCTCAAAATCCGTCTCTAAAGAGAACGGCCAAGCGTACTGACCAGACACATGGGCCATAACATTACGACCACTTATGGGGTAACACTGGACTGCTTATTTTATCAAAATGATGATTTCTAATGAGGGAAAAGCCACATCTTAGCATTAGTATGGAGGCAACTTTGAGCCATCCCATTAATGACCCCCCCACAACGCACGCACGCACACACACACACACACACACACACACACACACACACACACACACACACACACACACACACACACACACACACACACACACACACACACACACACACACACACACACACACACACACACACACACACACACACACACACACACACACCAGTATTCTTCCCCACCCCTTATGGATCGTGTAAAATGTGCTCAAGCAATGCAACCAAAAGTCTGCACTCTAAGAAATAAAAGGTTGACTTCACTTATCTCAGTTACGTTAACTAGTTCCACTAAACCTAGTTGCTTAAATATAAAGTATATTATATACATTTATTCATTTTTATGTTTAAAGTAAATTATAATACTCTTTGCATTTTAGCAAATGGCTTTAGTAGAACCAGTTGAAATAACTTGGTAAAGTTAATTCAACACTTTATTTTTTTACAGTGTAAGTTCAATCTCTTACTGACCCGTTCTCCCCTAATTTTTTTTAGTTTTTCAAAATAAAGTTTGTTATGTATTAAAATGTGGATTTTTTCAGTTGACAGGAAAAATAAAACTTCTTAGGGATCTATTTGTCTGAGGGCAGCTTTGGCGGCCTTGGACATGCGGTCATAATGTTACGGCTGATCCAAGCATTTAAATGCTCCAAAAAGAGAAATCAACAGATTTTGAAACTGTGACGATCTTGTTTATGTGGCTTTGTGAACCACCGACTTTCTCCACTTCTCTCTCGACTCCTACTCATTTCTGAAGCGTAAGAATCTCAACAAGATTCTGCTCACGATCACATTTAAAGATCACAACACGACCGAGCCATTAAGAAGCTAAACTTTAAGAATAAAAGCCTTTTCACAATTGACTCTGATAAATAAGTAAATGCTAACGGTGTTTGTGTTTCTTTTAAATAGGCGTTTTTTTTTATCTGAGTAAGTAACAGAAATAAGATTTCTCAGATTGATTATGGCTTCGATCATCTTATATGTACAAAAAAGTGCATCAATATTTATGAATCATGTCGAATTTTCACTAAATAGAAAAAAAAATGAATCTTTAAAGAAAAACGTCTGATAAGTACAAGATTTTCAAGCGGATAAAACTCTAGAAACAGAACTCAACTTGATCTTCATGCTATCGCCATGACAACAGGACCCTCTGTAGCATCCTTCCACCTTCGCTTCATCCCACTCTCCAGCGTATTTTATTGGTTTCATGCCAGTAGGACTTGGGATTTTAAGGGCTTTACTTCAACTCAGTTGATGCGACTGAATCAGAAAGTCAAGTAAATGATGCAAAATTCTGAAAAACATCAAGTAGTACAATACAGCGGGTGTTCACCTACACATCTCATCCCAACATGACGAGGAGTCACATGACACCTCCATGTTGCCATGGTTACCCCGCATTGCCTCAGTGCAGTACACACTTGGTGGAAATGATGAACCTCCAGAGGAGAAAAATAAAAAACAGGAAGTGATGAACCCGGTAATAATCCGTTCAACTATGACAAAAGCAGATGAGCGGTCCAAAGCTAAAGTTGTAGGTTTGGGGAACAAACATATCCAACAGGTCAGAATGTAACTGTTAGAATCATTAAACTGACTTTGATTTTGCTTTGAAATGTCTGAAAATAACTTAAACTTCACCAATGTGAAAAAACAGGATTATGCCTGATTTTCGCCCGGTTACTTTGGCGTTTTCAACTCTTTTACACTAATGTGTTAGCTTTGTGTGTGCATGTGTGTGTGTCTATGGTGTGTGTAACAGAGGATCTTCGGTTTCCAGCTGGGCCAACTGCCTGCGCAGGCTGTTGACTTTATTTTGAAGTTCCTTGTTGTACTCAATAATGTGCACCATCTCATCGTACGCCTCATCCAGACACCTGGAGGAACGGTTCCAGCGAAGGAACACTCCTGCAACAGAACATGAGGAAAAAGCAGGAAGTAATCTATTTTTAAAAGGTGTAGAACACTTGTTAATCAATACATTTGTGGTGGTCTCTAGTAGGAATGAATGCCTTGTAAGTCGTACTTGGGGGGCAAAAAACACCAGTGCACCATTTCCAGGAACTAGAAGTGAGCCACATCATAGCTGAGCTGCAGACAGCAGGATTTGGAGTCTTATTTCCTGATATTTGGACATCTCTCCTCTGATTGGCTAACAGCAACACGACTCTCCCACTGACTTCTACTAGCCGAGACACGCTCTCTCCTGGACGCTAAACCAACATCAGTGAACGTGGCCTTTAAATGCAAAAAAATCAACAAATCTATGATCTAACTCAAATGTTTTACCATGAACATCATAAAATATGTTTATAAAAAACAAACAAGCCTGTACTTATTTTATGTGAGACATAATGAAATGAACAGAAGTGTTTAAGTGTGTTTCTTTGAACACGTGTGGCCACATTTATCTGCTGTGTTATTGGAAGGGATGGTTCTAATTTGGCATGGTGCTCCAAATATGAGCAGGTTTACTAATCCTGTTTATGGCAGAAAAGCAAAATAATTTTCCATTTTATTGAGGTTTAAATCTGATTTAGCATTCCTGCAACATGAATCTACACTTTAATTTACTATAATTACATCATATTAATGCAAATAATTTCTTAAACTGCTAATTTCACTTCAATATTTAAAGTTGCACCACTTTGACAAGATTTAATCACCCTTTATGTAAAATTCTAAAGTTTTGCACGCTCTGTTATCCTGTTAGTGTCCACACCAGCAGCTGGAGCTCTGCTGTTCCACTCTTTTGAATTATCTCCCAAAGCGGGACTCGTTTTCAGAGGAAAGTGCTTCGTAAGCGCCGGCGGGTTCTAAAATATCTGGTTCCACTTCATTTAGAAAGAGGGTGTGAGTCTAAAGATTAAAGACATAAAAGAGGCCTTTCAAACAGAGGGCGCGAACCCGCTGACCCCCGTCACAACTCCCCTCCCCCAAGCTTTCTTTATGAACAGCTCAGCGCCAGTTCTCCGGGACGGTTTCAAATGTAGAGACATAACTGCCAACTCAATCAAGATCAAACACGTTCATGTTTATTTTGACCAGAAAAGAAGCTGGTGTTGTTCTAGTGTGTATGCTAACCACACATCATATTTTTATTTTTTATTTAACCGGGGGAGTCAGTGGAGAACTCATTCTCATTTATGATGACAATCTGGCCAAGAGGCAGCAGCAACAGACACAGAGAAAGCTTTACATAAAAGAAAAACTAGATAAATAAATAAATAAAACTATAAAGACAGTTCTCATTTACAACATGTACAAGCAATCACAACAGACTTAAAACAGGCAATAAGTACTCAGAAGCGCATTCATCAGAAACTACTGATTGCATTGAATCACTGAAGCTCACTGCCTACGTGCTGCTGCAGGAAGTAGGCAGTGAGCTTCAGTGATTTTTGCAGCTCATTCATGTTGTTGGAAGCAGAAAACTGGAATGAGGAGCGGCCAAAGGAGGTGCGGGCTTTGGCAATAACCACAGGGGTTATGTTACTGGAACGTAAACTGTGGTTGTTAGAAGTGATGAGTAATGAGCGAGTATCAAACACTGGGTGGATTTTCATTCATTCAAGATGATCTCAATAGCAAATCAGCACAAAAATGACCAAAAACTGTCAGTCTGACAGCTTTTGAGCTAAAACCTGAGTCCTAGTTATCACACAAGCTCATGCATAACATTAATTTTAAGGTTTATCTAAAAAATAAAGAAGCCAAAACTCTGACATGAAAGGTCAAAGGTGACGCGTCCACTGAAAGAATACTACATCTTTGATTTGTAATTCTAAAAGTATTTAAACTGATTCAACTAGATGAGCTTAACAGATCTACTGGTGACAATAGAGATAAAGACATGACAAGAATCTAAAACAGCATTTATCTCAGGGATGTTTTAGTGTTCACTGTAAAGGAACGGCCTACACCTTTTCTCTTGTGTTTGACGATTTCAGCAGCCAAGTCTGAGAGTCAGCCACAAAACCTAAATTAGCCTACGTGTGATTTACGATCGCTAACTGAGACCTGGTAGTAAAAAATGTTCTCCTCAGCTCAGCGTAGGACGACTCAGATGTCGCTGGTGATTTACCGTCAGAACAGCCCATAATAATACAAGTGGGATGCCTGAACACGTCACAAACATGCTGGGAATGCTTTTATTTTCTTTTATCCTTTACCAAGTAAAAGATTATTAAATTGTTTTAAAATTTATAAAATTTTTCTTTATAATTTAACAATTTCACTCGTTAATCAATAATTATATACATAATATATATATATATATATATATATATATATATATATATATATATGTATATATATATATATATATATATGTATATATGTATATATATATATATGTATATATATATATATATATATATATATATATATGTATATATATATATATATGTATATATATGTATATATATATATATATATATATATGTATATATATATATATATATATATATATATGTATATATATATATATATATATATATATATACACATACATAATATGTATGTATATATAAATTATGTATGTATATATATATATATATATATATATATACATAATATATATATATATATATATAAATATATATATATATGTATTATGTATATATTTATATATATATATATACACACATAATATATATATACATATATTATGTATGTATGTATATATACATAATATATATATGTACATAATATATATACATACATTATATATATATATTATGTATATATATATATATATATATATATACATAATATACATACATTATATATATATTATATATATATATACATAATATACATACATTATATATATATATATATATATATATATATATATATATATATATATATATTGCCCCCTTATGGCGAGATTCATAAAGGTCTTCCCTTAAAGACAGCCACATCTTGGGTATTTCCCAACTCAGTAACCATGTATTTAAATAATATAATAGAAGAGCACGCTGCGCATCACCCAGAGGACATCGGGTGCTCCGACAGCCCGTGGGAAATCAAATGTAGAGGATAAAGTACGGCTGTGTCAGTTCTGTTTGTTTTGCACCTATTAAAGTGCTGAGGACCAGCTTGCTCCAGCCATACATTACTCTCTGTATTTAAATAATATTCTTAAATTATTCCATAAACCTACTTGGGTTCCAGGTTACTACATGCCTTTAGTCCCAAAATAAAAGACTGCATGAGTCAAACATTAAGTGGGATGGGAGTCGAGCATCAGAAAAGCTGCTTTTTCCTTCACTTAGGTGTGACTTTAGGATAATTTTAACATTTTAATCCCAAAAAGATTTTTAATATTGTGTCAGAATATCAAGGAAGAGTCAACAGTACACATCCTCTAATCTCGGTGTACTGTGTACGTGTTTTGTTTGCTGCTCACCTTCCCACAGCAGCAGACTCTGAGGAGCCACGGAGGGCCAGATCACAAGACTGTTGGCCTCATAAAGCGGGTTGGTCAGACGCTCCAGCTCCTGAGGACGATTCACCCACGACCAAAGAGACACGGTCTTCTCAGCCAGAGACAGCCTGGCTCTGTGAACACGCAGAAAGGTGTTGAACAACGAATGCTTCTAACTGTGGACTGAAGAAAACGTGTCATAAACAAAAAAAGCTTTTTTTTGTCAATAAACAATCAGAAATCTGACAAATTGCACTAATCACACACCTCCTAATAATCTGAAGTGGAACTCACCTCTCTGCTGCACTGTTGCCCAGGAAAGTCCCAAACTGAGAGGCATATGCATGTTCGAACAGCAGCACCAGGAAGGCCTCATTGAATTCAAAGGAGCAGGGAAACTGGCGTAGGGTCTGCCACACGCAGTCCAAGAAGAGCAGGAAGACCGGAGCCTCCTGCCGAGGTTTGCTGTTGGAGTAGGCGGACTGGGCACAGCGCTGCTGGAAGGGGTGACCCGCCTGGGGAGAAGGTCAAAAAGGTGAGAGGAAACAACAAAAAACATCCCTCCTGGATGTTTTCCTGTCTTTACTTGCAGCAAACACTAATTTCAGGGTTGAAAATCAGAACATTTGTCTAATCCTTTGCAGTAAACACAGAACGATCAAAGCTGAAACTAGCGGAAGCTCACCTGGAGCCACTCACGCTCCACCAGCCCCTGGAAGCCTTTGATGGTCCTGCAGGTGGGATCGAGAATGATCTGAGCCAGAGAGGTCACCTGCAGGGTGGAGTCGGTCCCTTCTGTGCCGTGAACGAGCACGGACGCTCCCTCCCTGAGACAAACCCGCATCGTAACAGCGTGTTAGCGTTTTAGCAACAGCGTACCGGTTCAGTCAAGAAATGGAACACGAGCGCTGACCTGTCGATGCACTGGGCCGCCAGGCAAGCAGTGGTGAGGATCTCTTTGATGTGAGTCTGCCAGTTGGACGCCTCCAGCTTGCTCAGCCAGCGGTCCATGCTGTGGGACTGATCATTACAGGCCTCCACCAGCTTAATCAGACTTTCTTGGAGGATGTTAGACCTGCAAACCACGAATTTGACCAAACGATTATTAAAACCACTCTTTTAGAAAACGTCACCCATGATTCCAGCAGCAAGAACTCACCTTTCAATAGCTTTGTGGATCCTCCTCCACTGCGGATAGTTCCCTTCAGACTCAAAGCCTCCACCTCGAGCTTTGGCCTGCTGGGCGACATTGATGGTGCGTGTGTCGATGATGTATCCCCGTTTCCCTGCCCTCAAAGTGGCATTAATCAGCTTCTCGTCTTCCTTGCAACGCCGTCCGTTGGTGCCCGTCAGCGGCTGCCCTGCTCGCATCATAACCTGATGGTGAAAGCCGTTTTAAAGACAAGTCTGTCTCCTCAAACACACAAAAAAATAATAATAATAAAGAAAGGAGAAGATTTCTGTGCTGTCACCATGCCGTTTTTCTTGTGGTAGTAGCTTAGTACAGGAAAACGACCACCGTGGCGGAAGGTGGCTACTTTCTTCAGCGTGTCGTCGTCGATGTGTTTGGGCACGGCCACTAGGGGTGGGTACGAAGAGCACACGCTGAAATCCTTGTTGACTTCACTCAGTCTCCACTCATCTGTCTGAGAAAATAGAATATGCAACGTCTGACAACGGACAGCACAAGTTAGCTTGATTACATTCTGGAAAGCCTTGTGACTTATTGGGATGACTCATACTATTGACTCCAAATCCTTAAAGGCGTCCTGAGGAAGAAAGGAATTCCATCCATCCTCGATGACTTCAAACATGGGCCGGTAGAAGAACGGGTACATCAGGGAGACGGAGTCGAGTGTTGAGAGAGCCTTGAGAGACAGAAAAAAAAATATTAGTATACTATATTTCAGCAAATGCACAGTTGAGCTAAAAAGTAAAAATAAATGTGTTGGTGCTCTCCTGTAGAGGATTTTAGGAGTTTTTACCTCAACTGAGCTGGCAATGTTGAGACATTCCTCCATTCCAGGGATGTCGAGCTGGATAATCCTCAAGTCTTTACATTTGACTACGATGCGTCCCAAAGATCCCACAAATCTACAATAAACAAATAAATGAAAGAACAAAGGCACCAGTTATCAGACAGAACATAAATCTAACCTGAACTCTCCTGCTCTTATTCCACAGTGATTCCTGCTCTGCCTGTTAGCTCTTCCCTCTGTGTGGTTCATTATAGGTGTTTTGCTTTAGCTGAAAGTATGTGCCAAAAAAAGACAATAAAAAATAAATGAACATAAAAACAAATTTACCTATAAATGAAGCAAACACTGCAGCAATTTTTTAAACTATTATATGGATTTAAAATGTGTGAAATAACTAATCTAAGCTTTTTTTATTTACAAGGTAAATTATGATTGTCGGGGAAAAACCTCAAATCAATGTGAAAAAGAGCTTGTGATCACAATTAATTTGCGTAATGTAAACAACAAGACTCTTTGACTTGTTCTTTTCCTGAAAAGCAACATTTTTGAAAACAGGTTTCTGCCTGACAGCGACGTAATGTCTTTAGTTTTACTGCAGCATGTTTTAATTACATAAAGGATACAGCAAATAACAACAATTCATGAAAAAAGGATAATTCCTTCCAAATGCAACACATTTTCGAATGACACCAGGCCAATCTTAAGTCTGTTTTGTGTCAATCGATCGATTAATCATTTTCTTACAGTATTACCGTAAATGCCAGTAAAGATGAGTGGCCAAGAAGTAAAAAAAGATAAAGATTTCTATTTCAGTTCTTTAAAATGTGCTTCTAAATGTATACTTCCTACCTGCTAACCCTTTAGGAACAAGCTGAACGAGAACACGCAAAAGCAGCAAAAGGACATGTCTCTATGCGGTCTCATGCTTACTGTCCTGCATGTCCTTGCTGTAAACAATGTGGTAAACAGGATGTAGCATTGACACGTTTACAGGCTGTCACCTCTTCTCTATGGAGTCTATGTTGGCGTGAAGCAGCCACAGCTCCTCCGCGCTGTCCTGTCTGGAGGACAGAATCAGGTGATGTCCAGTCAAACACAGAGTTCCCTCCACGGTGGGCATGAAGGGTCGGTGCAGGACCACTCCATCCACTCTGGGTGTTTTTATCAGCTCTGCGAACTCCATGATGATCTGAAAAAAGCAGAAGATTGCCCCGATTTCTTTGGTCTGGGAGTTATTTTAAAACAGCTGAACTCTTGTTATCGAATGAGTCTTGGTCTTCTGGTTTAAACAATATTTCGTTCATTCATGGCAACTAAAATACCACAAAAAGGAAAAATGCTTTTAAGTATCGGTGAAATTCCGGAAATCAAGAGGCTAACGTTAGCTAGCTTGGTAACTGTACCAAAACAATCAGCTGTAAACATGTCCTAGCACAAACCGACTACATGAACTATAATATAAACACGCAGCCCGTTTCTTATCTCTCCTATCAGGGTTAGGGGTGTTTACGTTAACCTACCCGATATGTTTTGTTTGTTGTTGAGCGAAAACGGTACGTTCCCCGAAACAAACCGTGTGGAAACAAACGACATGAGAAATTAAGTACCGGTGTCGGCACAGGAGTTGCTCGGGTGCGGCTCGGGGTCCGTCGGTGCCGATGACGTCAAAGTAGTTGATTGGCTGAAAATGAAGCGTACGGAAGTTACGTTAATGGTCAGAACAAATTTGCGGTTGTAGTCTTAGCGGTTGTAGTCCTGTAGTACAAATATCAACAGTTTTTGGAAAAAAATATGTTTGAATTTCTAAAGGAAATGTAAAATATAAGCAAATGATAAACAGTGACCCTCAAAAGCTCTTGATGTTGATGAAATGGGGCAAAATAAAGTATAAGAACTTTATTGAAAGACACCAAGCAATATTTAGAGTCAAAGAATGTATTTAGATAACAACTAAGGGAATATAAAGACGAACTCCACATTAATACAAACAGATATGGCTTCACATATAAGAACTGTTCTATTTGTTGTCAGTCCGATGTTGTTTTTATACAGTTTCACATTCTTTACAAGACAAAGATAATATGGTGTTCTATTAACAAATTACAATTATAAAGAAAACATTTAGGTGTTAACAAACAAGAACTTATTAACAAAACTGCTGACGTCTTTCCGAAACGTGTGTGTGAAAGCCGAGCAGATTTGCAGTCATGTGACGTCATCGGCAGTCGAAGGACCCCGAGCCGATCCTGTACCAACACCGGTTTGTTCGCGTAGAAAATTGTTAATTTGGCTCTTCTTAATCAGGTCGTTCTTTCTATTTTTGATTGAAAACAAACAAACAAAAACAAAAAATGAAAGTCATTTTTTTGTTATTTGTTTTTTAAATGGAAAAAACAATGTGGTAAACAGGATGTAGCATTGACACGTTTACAGGCTGTCACCAAATTTGATTGCGAATGTGAGACATTTTTTAAGGATCTCTTCTCAGTAGCAAAAGTGACCAGTTTGCTCTTAAAAATCCCCAGAATGATAGGGGTCCTCTTCTAAAAGTTTTGCCACGATTAGTAATTTAGAGCAGATTCACCTGCTTTCGACAGCCTTAATGGTGCAGAGAGTTCAGCACCTGATGTATCACTCAATAAAGATATCTGGGAGGGTGAGTGCTGTGCAAGGCCCTAAAGCCCTACATCACTGGTTCTTAACATTTTATCCTGTGTCCAAGAAATGGTGCACCGGTACATCCCCCCATTGCACCACCCGAGCACGACATAAGCATTCATTCCTACTAGAGACCGCTAAATGTATTGATTAAACAAGTCTACTACTCCTTTAACAGTTTCATTGCTGATGGTTGATTGTTCCAAATCTGAGATCCTCTATGAAACATCCAAGATACATGTGTACATCAGGGAAAAGGCCCCAAAACATGATGTTCTCAGTGAATGTCTCAGACAATGGCGAACGGCGAGGTGCTGGAAATTCCATCGTAGGACGGAGGGATGACAAACCCCAACATGGGATGTACCACCGACAGATAATTGAAGTAGCTAATATCAAAAAATCCTACCAATGGCTAGAAAGAGCTAGTCTGAAGGACAGCACAGAAGAACTCATCATGGCTGCACAGGAACAGGCCCTGAACACCAGAGGATGAGCTGCGATGTAGCCATAACTGCTCTGGGGCGCACGGACAGAGCAGCATATTCTCACTCCCAGCGTGTCAAAAACAAACGCTTGGTCGGCCACCCTCCACCTCAGACCCCTGATGCCAAAAGTGCCTTTTTCTTCACTTATGTGTGAAAAGGGGTTTTCCCTTTCCTGACTACAGAACCCAATGCAGCGTAAAACTGACATGATGGGATGTCCGCTGATGCGGCACCGAACCGGCTCATTTAACCGCACCTAAACCTTAACGTTTTACTATTTATAACCTTCCCCTCAGCCTCTTCCTAACCTTAACCCTCTTGCTACTTAAAACGTTACTCTCACTGTGATCAAGCGTTTGCATTCTGACTGTGAATTTTCGTATTTGCCGCCCAAGGGGAACGTTAGAACATACCGTCTGGCGAGGGGGAGGTTACACATACCCTGTACTTTAACCTCCACCGTGGTAGTTGAAACCTCCCCCTCGCGTTGGCTCGGTCCCAACTCGACCAATGACGAGGCAGCTCCCGCCGTTCACTTCATAGAGCGATCGACACATCACTAACGTGTTAGCTAGCAAGATGGTTAAGGTTAGGATAGGGGTGAGGGGAAGGTTAAATAAGAGGATAAGGTTAGAGTGAGGTACAATGAGCTTGTTTGGTGCCCTGGCTGCGGACATCCCATCACGTCAGTTTTACGCTGCATTGGGATCTACAGTCAGAAAATGGAAAAACCCCTTTTCACACATAAGTAACGAAAAAAGGCACTTTTGGCATCAGGGGTCTGAGGCGGAGGGTGGCTGACCAAGCGTTTGTTTTTGACGCGCTGGGAGTGAGAATGTGACAGAGACAAGGCCTGCTGAACTCTGGCACCACAAGTTCTTCTGACCACCAGCAGCATATGTGTGTGTGTGACTGTGTAGTGATAAATGTTGATTTGGTCTAAAAGTCCAACCAAGGACCAGGTTTGCAAATTAGCCTCAGGCTATAAACCTCTTTGCAAAACAATAGTTGCATCGTCCTTACATGTAACGTCTTGTGTTGTCCTTGTTTAATAAACCCAAACTAAACTAAAAGAGCACACTAGGTGGTGACATTTGAACACTTTAGGGCATTTGAACCTCCTCGGCTTGTCTAAAAGTTTCTTTAGATGCATCATTGGAATTTACTAATGAGCCTCAAAGATCAACTGGAGGATATGTTTTTAATACTTTCATTCAAAACCCATTTACACATGGTTCTTCACTAAATATCTTCTTTCTGTTTCTGGTCTGAATACGCTCTTCATTCATTCCCTCTTTTATTTTAACCTAGTATTATTGCCCTGTTGTTTTTTTTTTTTTTTGGTGTATTGAATCGGAGCAGGATGACAAGACAGATAATAATAAGAGACTAAGTGTATACTATTCAACCATCCTATGTCTCTCATGTGAATCCATGATCACTGATATCACCACCAAAGGATCGAAGTGAAAAAGTTGTGATCAAAGAACTTATTAAATACCAGTTTCTTGTTCAATCACATTTAATTTTCTCCTCAGTTTTTGGATCTGAAGGTTCAGCTTTGATTCATTCACAGTAAATGTTTTGCGTTTCCATTTCTGCACAGACGTTGCAGAATCCAGTCATCTCTGCTCTTGGTTTGCTTTAAATCCAAATGTTGTGGAGCCCTTAGAGCACACTAATCTTTGACCTCTTCTAATAAATTAATAATTTTTACGGTGTGCATATGTCTTTGTACTTTTCTGTGTAATAATAAAAAGAACAACACTAGCTTTTATAATAATAATAATAATAATAATACATTTTATTTAAAAGCGCCTTTCAGAACACCCAAGGTCACTTGACAGAAAACACGTAATAAAATACAATAAAACAATAATAAAACCCAAACAAGAAAAAAACAAAACAAAGAGAGAAACAGTTCAATAAAATCAGAGGTTGTAGGCAGATTTAAACGTGTGTTTTGAGTTTTGTTTTGAAAAGGGTAAAACTGTCGATGTTCCTGATGTCTGGGGGAAGTGAGTTCCAGAGACGGGGAGCAGAGCAGCTGAAAGCTCTGCTCCCCATGGTAGCGAGACGGGCAGAAGGAACAGCAAGATGGATGGAAGAAGAAGATCTGAGAGAACGGGATGGGGTGTGAATACTTATAAGGTCTGAGATATATGGAGGAGAGAGGTTGTGGATTGCTTTGAAGGTATGGAGGAGAATTTTGAAGATGGACCTGAATTTAACTGGGAGCCAGTGAAGCTGCTGGAGAATCGGGGTGATGTGGTGAAACAAAGGGGTTCTGGTGATAATATGGGCTGCTGAATTCTGGACCAGTTGCAGTTTATGAAGGAGTTTGTTGGGGAGACCATAAAGAAGTGAATTGCAATAGTCGATACGGGAGGTGACGAGGCTGGACGAGAATGGCGGCAGTGTGAGGGGTAAGGGAGGGTCAGGGAGACTCCACTCTGCTGTTCCAGCCTCTGGACTTGACCAAGATGCATTTGCAGGTTAGCATGCAGCCCAAGTGAGTTAGTGTGGATGCAGGTGTGCAGCTGTTGTAATTACCACTGATTTTATTGCATGTTTTCTCCTTCCAAAGCTTATTCAGTAGCTGTCTGATTGTTTCACCTCAGACGGGGTGAGGATGGTGTCTATGCTCCACGCTATGGTATGGGCAGAGGCTGCTGGGACACTGGAAGGGAGTTTCACCAGTAAGCACAACTCTGACTTTGACCACCAGTCTCTAATCTTAGACAGTGGTGCTCCCAAGGCGTGGCCATGGCCACCCCTAGAAGATAACTGGCCCCCCTAGGTAGAACCAGTGTTAATAAATCATATTAGTGTTCACTCAAACCACAAATTCATCTTATTTATTCAAGACATAAATGTAAAAAGTTTATATCTCCATAGTTTTTGTGAAGACAGTAGCAGGTGAATTAAACAAAAAAATTAAATTCGAACATAAATGTTGAAATCACATTTCAAATAACAGAAAGTATTTTTTTTATTGTTTGTGATCCTCAAATTTGTAGTTAAAGGAATGGCGGAGGATGAATTTCAGGAAGGACCCGCCCTCTCCACGTTTTGAAAATTAAAATGCACGAGAGAGAACACTTAGTTATCCTTGTGCACGCTCTGCTTACAAGCAGCTGCCAGCCTTGCAGCACTTCTTCTAGCAGTACTCTGAAATGAATTTATCCAAATAGCACGCTGAACTTTAGCTCACCCATCTAGCAGAAAGCCAGCGACAGAGGGGAGCCCAACATTTGTTTTGAGCACACGCCATTGTTGAAAAGAATACTCTGGTCTTGTGTCTCACTTTGGAGGCCTTTCTCTTCGTATCGTTAACGACACTTTTTCTCTTGCAAATCTCAGCCTTTTTCAAAAGAACCTGGTGAGAACAGCGAGGAATGAAGACTATCACTCTGCACATAAACAGAAGTGAAAATGCAGGAAATGAAAAGTACCCAGCAATGAGCACGTATGACAACAGCGTTGCGTGAATGGTTCACCAGAATTATTGACAGTCACGCAG